TATGAATACTGAAATAGTAGCAATAATCAAAGCAATAGAATACGCGGAAACCAAAAATATAAAGAAATTAGCTATTTTCACAGATTCGAAGTGTGCTTGCACATTAATTAACAACCCCAATCAAAACGAAAATTATTTGATCAAACAGCTAATAAATATAGTTGAGAAATCATCGATAGAAACAGTATATATGCAGAGGATTCCTGGCCACATAGATTTAGTCGGTAATGACAGAGCGGATCATGCGGTCAAGCTTGAAACAACTCGAAACACTATAGAACAGTTTAATTTTACCTTACAAGATTTGATTAATATTCTTAAGAAAGAAACAGAAAGCATCTGGCAAGATCAATACTCACAAATTTCATCTGAAAAAGGCAAATTTCAGTTTGAACATGCTAAACAAACTTCTTTGTCACCCTGGTTTAAAAAAATGAGCTTTGAAACTTTAGACACCATCATGTTATCACGCATCAGGTGCACTGAACCAATTTGACATATTCTTGTTATGTGGAAGTCTAATAAATTTGCGCTATAAGATAATCCATTGAAAATGATATGATTGAAAATGTGTCAGGTAAATTCTATATGAATATCTGATACATTTACAATGCTGATAATTTGGTAACTTTTATATGATCGTCATATGATAAATGAAAATCAGTTAAATTATAATAATTAACTGAAATGGATTTGAAACCCATAAGCATAAGCTTTACGTTTCACCACAATATAATATATGTGTCATAAATCAATCGAAGTAAAGTTTATGTGAAAATCACATGAAATTTACTTCTTCTTTTGACACATATATTTAATCGATTTCTAAAAATAAATCGAAAAATAAACATCAGGCAGTGGGAACTTTCACAGTTGTGTCTTTTTTTTTTATTGTAGCTGATTTTGGATTCGATCAAGAACTGTTGAGGTGTGATGCTTTCGGTTTCTGCGCTCGATTCCACTGGGACACGGCTGACTTCAAGATTGAACTCGTTCAATTAGCATGAAATAAGAACAGCTCTCCCGACATGGAATGTAGTGCAACTTTATGCTCGTTTTGCTAGAGTGAAGACAAATAGCACTGACAAATTTATGTTCCGTTTCGGTGGTGTCGTTTGTTCAAATCTTTCTTAATGCGCCTGTGTGCAATAAAAAAACGACTAAATTATATGAGTTGATGGAACTGGTTCATGAAGTTCGAGTACTAGGGCTGGAATCTGAATTAGCCGTGTAGAAGGCTTACAATTAGAATCACAGCAAAGTAAATATTGCAGTAGAATAATTGTTTTTTCAATCTCAATACATTCTTTTCCGGAACCCCTTATCTTATGAAACAATAACAAACAAAGATTATTCAATACAGTATCATTGTTGTTAGCAATATTTACAATATCAACTAATCATTTTAATGAGTGTACGATAACATCGTTGAAAATTGTTTCAATAATTTATGAAGAGCAATCATGTGAGATGTATTTTATTTTGAGCGATATTCATCCCAGAAAAACATGCCAAAACAAATGTTTGCTGTTGGATTTCTTAAAAGGCAAATCTATATGACTATATAATGATTGGGATAAATCTGTTTACAATCTTTAAACCTAAAAAATCAAAGGAAGCTATTCTAATGAGATATGAGATATACATGTTTTCCTATACTGCAAAGTTAAATGACAGTCCAATAGTTTCTACATATCTGTTTACACGCGACATATCAACAAACTTCAAAAATCGTTAAAAGCAATTCAAAAAAATATACATGATTATCTTATAAGATATATCTTTTAGTGAGCAATATTCATCATGAAAACAGGTATATTGTACTGAATTTTCTCATAATGCAAACTTATATGATTTTCCATTAGTTTCTAGATGTCTGTTCCCACATATATCAACATGACATATCAACAATTTTTCACCATGAAATATATCAGACAATATTCATATACTTTTTACCTATCGCTAACCACGTTCGAAGCAAAGTATTATCAAGTACAAAGTATGTGAAATTACGATAGAAATCATTCCATATCGCAGTCATAGTTTTAAAGTGATAATCCAATGGAATCTATCAATCATCACGTAGAATGAATAAATCTGCTGACATTGCTATGTTATAAGATAGATCCAGTAAACGGTACATGTCGATTTGTTTCAGTGTGGGGACACATCAATGAGGTACAGAGAGAGGTGACGCAGATCGTGAAATAGGGTTGTATTAGTAAACCAAAAAATCAACGTAAACGCAAGTAGTGACGTCACTACTTGCGTGTATCGTACAGTGGTTGTGTGAGTGATTGCTTCACCTCGGTAATCCAGCTCATTGGGGACACATGACAACAAAGGGCAGACTACCTACATGGAAACTGATTCCAAATGATCGTTGTGACCAATGTGACGTGACAGAGAACCTATGGCACATACTGTACGATTGTCCAAAATACCATTCGATACCAGATACCAATACCGAGATACCAATACGATTCGATTAGTGATAAACTTATTGAAATTGGACCAGGGGCAGCTGAGTTATTAACGTTCAAAATCTTTCTTTATTTGTTACATGTTCCATTTTCGGTTTTCACAAAGTGTACCCCCATATAGAAATCAAAGACGTAGTCCTACGTCAAAACATGTCAATATTCGTTCACCAATCAAAAGAGTATCACACGTTTCCGAATAGAAAATCATCCAACAGATTTTGTCATACGGTTTTCAGAAACATTGAAACTGAATGATGTTTCATTCTATAAATTGAGGGTGATTTGGTTCAGTGGAAAACACAGAGTCAATGTTCTCCCTTTTTATGACACAGACCAAGGTGACTACATATAGGTGTTCTAATGTGTCAAATTCATGATTCAACGGGATTCAACCATGTTGGATTTTTGTATGGGACAGCGACCAAGTTTGTTTACAATTTGCTCTAAAACCACTCTCCTCCCTCCCCCCCCCCGCGACCTCCTCGCGTATATAGTGATAAAGCTGTATCACCATGATATACCCACCATGGCACACACTGAGGCAAATAGACCTTAGAATTTCTAATACCCCGGACAGACTATGGCTTATATCATGTAATATAAGCTGTCTTGCAATGAGCACTCATACATAGGATTTCCAGTAAAAACTAGTCATAGTCTGTACGGGGTATAAGACTCCCCTAATAAAAATTGTATGGTTAATTTGCTTAACGACGTGTTCTGGGTATCATCCAAACCATTTGTGGAATAATTCAAAGATTTGGGTTATCGTTCGTTTATGGTTATTTTTTATTAGGGTCGACTTATGAACAACATATATGAATTTCTTAAGCGTGACTGAAGCGGGTAACCTGGCGGGTAACATGAGTTATACCCCTTACAGACTATGGCATACACACTTAAATTTTTTCGCCGAGATTCCAACAGCCGAGTAATTTTGCAATTTATTTTGCTGAGATTCAGTCAAACAATTGCTGAGTCTCAGCTAACAAATAACATTTTGCTGGGATATCAGCTAACAAACAGATATTTTGCAGAGATATCAGCAAAAGTGAATGCCGAAGTAATCGGTTGTTGGAGATTTTACCGAGCTAGATTAAGTGTGTATAGCATGTAATATAGGCTGTCTTGCAATGAGCACTCATACATCTAGTTTTCACTGGAAATCCTATGTATGATTGCTCATTGCAAGACAGCCTATATTACATGATATAAGCCATAGTCTGTCCAGGGTATTATACCCCGTTCACATTACAGCCTATATCACGTAATATAGGCTGCCTTGCAATGAACACTCATATATAGGATTTCCAGTGAAAACTAGATGTATGAGTGCTCACTGCAAGACAGCGTATATCACGTGATATACGCTGTGATGTGAACGGGGTATTAGTTTCGGGGTCATGTTATACCCCGTTCACATTACAGCGTATATCACGTAATATAGACTTTCTTGCAATGAGCACTCATACATAGGATTTCCAGTGAAAACTAGATGTACACACTTAATCTAGCTCGGTAAAATCCCCAACAGCCGATTACCTCGGCATTTACTTTTGCTGATATATCTGCAAAATATCTGTTTGTTAGCTGATATCTCAGCAAAATGATATTTGTTAGCTGAGTCTCGGTAATTATTTTACTGAATCTCAGCAAAATAAATTGCAGAACTACTCGGCTGTTGGAATCTCGGCGAAAAAATTTAAGTGTGTATAAGTGCTCATTGCAAGACAGCGTATATCACGTGATATACGCTGTAATGTGAACGGGGTATAAGTGTTATAGTTTTGTTAGTATTGACCCTTATTCAGCCCTGTCGGCCCCTCGATAACTAGTCGCAGGCAGTTGTTGTTAGGACATGCGACACTGTCACTGCTACTATGTTAGAGGGATGACCCGTCAAGTTTCGAAGTGCAAAAAAACTGTTAGAACTTTCTTATAAATTAACTTTACACTCAAAGCAAACTATTTACTTTAGCATTACAAAAGCGAATTTAAAATTACTATTTTATTATATGGTAATATTAAAATTATTATAAAACTACAATTTACGGCTCCGTGAAATTAACTCGCTTGAACCGTTCAAATCAATGAACTGAAGAAAAACTAGAATTTAACAAATAAAAAAAAATCATAGCGACACTTGACAAATCATCATCAAGCCCCTCATCCTTGGACAGGGGATTTTAACTTGAAAAATATTAATATGATTTTCCAAATATTTACAAGGGAATCGCACTTCATAATTTCAACTGCCATTTTCTCAATGCCTACTTTTTCCATATGGGACTGCTATGCGATTATGGACAGTATATCTGTTTAACAAATTTTGTTCCATTTCAATGTATTAAATAAAATAAAATAAAATATTTTTGTCTTCAGAAGACCAATGTGCACGAGTCGACGTCATTGTGAATATTATGTTTGTGTTGTGTTGCTTCTGAATGTTTTGTTTTCTTTCTTTCGCTTCTCACACACTCAAGCGCGACGAGAGGGCAGCGAAGCAGCAATCAAAACGGGAACTGTCAAAAATTTTGAGTCATCCATATTGGTATTCAGTGCGGGAGAGATAAAAATTGTGCAGTATTTTTGTGTGTCTATTTTTGCCAATAATCTCGGAAAAAGCTGAATTTTGCCTCCGTATGCTGGGAGGATTGTGCGGAATAATCATTGTGCGATAGGTTTTAGCTGCAAAGTGCGATTCCAATGGTGTGAGACAGCAGTCGGACCCCATCCGTATTTTCTGTGCTCTGTTGGTGGATTTGGTGGCATTCATTGTCCCCGTCCCATCATCAGCCTTTTGCTTCTTGAGCTGGTGGCTACTGAAAATCGAAGAACAAGCCGCCACCTCTTCGTTTCGAGCTAATTTGCCGTAGGAAGCGTAGTGAAAAAAGGTAAGGTTTGTGGAATATTGCGCCGAGTGGACACTTTGTGCTATGGTGCTGTTTTTCAAGCTTTCAGTGTCGTCACTTTCCTCTGAACAGATAATTTCATTCAACAGAAGGAGGTGACGCATGTAGACTATTGGGGGGTTTGGGGCATTATGTTATATGCATGTCCACGTCCATAGTGTCGGTTCAACTAATTGAGTAACTCAATTGTTGTTTGTAATCAAGATCATACAATGATTACGAACATCAAATTTATATGCGGAGCAACTGTAGGAATTTGATTTAGTATAGTTTATGACTATTTGTATCATTTTCCTACTAACATTTAACATTATTGGCCTTAGGTAACTATTAGCACTTTATTTTCGCTTTGATAATTACTTCCAACAATTACCATATTGATTGTTGATGGTCAAGCTATTTCACTCTCGGAATTCTACTGAACTAGTTAAACATCAATCCTACCACGATCGAATTTCGTACACAAAGTCACAAATGAACCTAATGTTTAGTTAACGAGGCATTCTAATACTTTAAAAGTTTTTCTACGTTTAAGTCTAACCAGTCTAGCACAGGAGTGGAACTGGTTTAAGTACGAAAATAAGCAAACTCTTATCACAAATACTATTTTCACAGTACCTGCCAGTGGGAAAACTTTCTTATTGCTTTGTATTCCTCCCAACGATCCGCTCGCTATGAGCCTTATCAGCTCTAGAATTGTGGCGCTTATAGAATGCAAAGCAATGTGCCTAAATCACCATTCGCAATGGCATAATGTTGGATTCGATTGAAAATTAACAATTCCCTTCGCAAAATAACTGCTAGTTGATTTACTCGACTAGCTTTTATCGCTGTTGGTTCCGGCATTGTTTTTTAAACTTACTTGCACCTGGCGTGGCCGGTAATAGCGAAATTTGGACTCGCTTAGACTTGTTCCATACGTTGCACCTTACACGTTGCGCTCATTGATTTTTTTTTTGCAAGTGCGACTACTCAAGATGTATGTTCTGGAGGAGTTATCTCATCGGGTTATCGATGGTTTCGATTGGACTATGGAGAGATGTATTGCGTTTATTGACACCGAGAGAATCATAGCTCTTTTAATGAAGCTCATTTTCTATCCCCTTACAGTATCCAACATGTCGGCGGGTCCGTATAATTATTCCTACATCTTCAAATACATCATCATCGGAGATATGGGTGTAGGCAAAAGTTGCCTATTGCATCAGTTTACGGAGAAAAAGTGTTAGTATCATATCCATCTATTGCTACCATGATATCGAATACTAAATTCTAATATTTTTTTCACACAGTTATGGCCAGCTGCCCGCATACAATCGGAGTTGAATTCGGCACTAGAATCATCGAGGTAGACAAGCAGAAGATCAAGCTACAGATATGGGACACCGCCGGGCAGGAACGTTTTCGAGCGGTAACTCGGTCGTACTACAGAGGAGCCGCCGGTGCTCTGATGGTCTATGATATTACCCGGAGGTATGTAGAGTCACTGACTTTCGCTGCTCAGTAATGATAATGGTTCCTCCATTTCTAAAACAGGTCTACTTATAATCACCTGTCGAGTTGGCTGACCGACACCCGCAATCTGACTAATCCAAGTACTGTGATATTTTTGATCGGCAACAAATCAGATCTAGAGAGCACCCGCGAGGTGACATATGAGGAAGCGAAGAAGTTTGCCGACGAGAACGGGCTTATGTTTGCCGAAGCCAGTGCAATGACGTGAGTACTGAACTGTATATTTTTATTTTTTCGATTGGCAACATTCCCACCAATCATGGAGACTTACATTTTCGTTGTTTGATAGCGCAGCGTGTTTGACGTTCTTGCAAAAGTTAGACGGACGAGCTCCACTCTGAACTGTTCCACTCCACAATCAGACTAGTTTTGTAGTTGAAATGGCGTTCTTTACACGTATGAACGAATATTACTATGTATTGCACCTAGAAGTGCAACAGAACGATACATATTAAGCATATCCAATTAATCACGTGGCATACGTGCATACATGGGGAAAATGCTTAAAACTTATTGTATTTTTGTTGTTGTTTGACTACTATTTAGTCCTGTTGAAACAAGAAGAATCGCTCAGGCCGCTCCCTTCTTTGAGTCGATATTTCCCATTTCTTTGATCCGATAGAACTTTGTCTATCGCTTAAGCCTCTCCATCCTTTGAGTCGAGATTTTCCATTTGCCTAACCCGATCGAAGTTGGTCAGTATCTTAGACAATTCCCACCTTCGCGGTGAGATTATCCTGATTGCTGTTATCCGTAGGGAATGCACGTAACTTATAATTACACTCAATCAAATATTCATGCTTCAGTCCAAAGCAGTTTTCGCATTATTCGTAATGGGTTCGTCACCAATGTGGTATTTCTGATAAATTCGAGAACTCTGACGTCCATAGCTTGAAAGGAATATTTTTAATGAATCACCCAAAGCAATGATTAAGGTGATTTCTTGAACAGTAGATCACAACGCACAGTAATTCGTATACACATTTCAAATCATTTGCGGGCGCTCTAAATCTTCATCAATCTCTACCATTTTTGGAAGAGGTTCATATTTTGGGGTTTAGAATCGAACTGTAGGGCGGCCTATAAGAAATTCATAATTTCTGTGCTGATGATGTTTTACCCACAAATCACTTCGAAAATTTGCACGTGGTCACTATTTAAAAAATAAATGCTAGTATTTTTTGGCTATAGTATGACTAAAGCTAGTATGTTTTGCCAACTACGTCTTCGCGTTGGAGCTAAGCATTGTAGTGTTTTAAATTTTGTTTTTATTGATTGAACCCACTTGATTTTCCCATATCAATTATATGCATGATATTCAATGGGTCTATACCCCGTTTGGCATACAGTCTTTTGGCATAACAATCGTTTAGCATGATGGTCGTTTGGCAGAATACTTGGGAAAATTGTACTTGAAGCTGTTAAGGACAAGGTTGATAGTGAACTCAGCCATTGTAGCAGCTATTTGTGGATTCTATCAATCTTTTCCTTAAGTGGTCAGTGGACTGAAACAATTTTTTTTTAAATAAAAAGCTTATAGGTAGTAACTGTTTATTGTTTTTATACTAATGATTCATTTGACGTATGTTTATCTGGTAGTATAACACGGTAGCTCCGTGGATTATTTTTGCAATTCACGAGCCATGGAAATGCTACTGAGTTTCCATTCCAGTGTTGGAAAAATATCAAAAAATTAAATCTCAGCATTGAACAAAATCACGCTTCATTTTCGTAGACAAAAGTCAACAAGCAAACAACTACGGCTGATATTGCAAGCTGTGATATCGCAGCTCGGAATATCAAGCTAACAAAACTCACCAGCTGCAAACTTCACCAAACTGTGGTGAGTTTGAGTTTCATGAACCGAAACTTCGATGAACCGAAACTGGCAGCAGTCTCTTGGTGTTTGCCATATGTGAAGATAAAAAAGAGATAGCATTATTATCTTAAGCTGGGTTTAGACTAGGCAAGTCAAATGATCAACTCAATTGAATTCAATTGGCTTGAAAATTTAAGCCTGGTTCAACTTTTTTCAATTCAAGTGTGTTGATCAAGTCAGTTGAATGGCATAGGTTACACGTTCAATACGCGTTCAAGTCAGTTGAATTCAACTGACTTGATCAATTGACTTGCCTTGTCTAAACCCAGCCTAAGAAAACGAGTTGTAACGGAATCATTTTTGCGCCAAGTCAACTCTCAGCTTCAACTTTACCTATTGTGAATAGTCTCGCAATATCAAATAAGCTTGTAAAATCAATATCAAGCATGATATTTTGCTCCAATATCACGCGTGATATTGAGAGCGTATGAGAGCAGAAAAATATCAATTTGCTAATGTTCCATTCATTGGCATTATTTCGTTGCCAGCTTGGATTTCTTCTTCGCTTCTGTGAGCAAAAATGGGGGTTTCTGTATGCTATCTTACCTTACCTTATGATCGCCATACATCGTTGGTCTGGCTGCCACACTTTAGCTTTAGCTTTAGCTGACGTGATGCAACAATTTTTATTCAGGTACATCTCAATGGTGAACAGAGACTCGACAAACGGGCCTCTGTTCACTTTGCTATCATGACTATCCGGATCCATGTATGTATCTTGGTGACCTTTGCCAGGCTACACTACCATCATGTCTTGCTGTCAGTCTTTGTCATCGGCTTAAACTGTGAAAGTGTTGGTAAAACGCTTCTTCCATGTTGTTGAATCATTTTTAGCACAAAGCGTCAAATCACATGAGGGTTGAAAAATAAAATCATTAGCGAAAATATTGAGCGCACATTTACCATCCTCCTGTTCTGTCCCAGCCAGGGCTCCACATTTTCGAAGCTCTAAGATGAACTCGAGTTTTGCCTCTTTTATACAACGTGTCAACGCATCATTTCTATAACAACCAGCTAGACCATCAACACGAAACGATAATGAAAAAGAATCACGCTTAGAACGAAAGGCTGTCTGTGGATTTTTTCGTCGTTGCTTTGCTCATCACTTTCAATGAAAGTAACGTCGATTATCGAGTGAAACGAAACCTCCTTATGATTTTCAATCCCTTTCACCCACACTCTATCGCCGCTCTTTCAATTTGTTTAATATGCGTTATGTCCCGTTTTCGTTACTTTATTTTAGTTAAATTTGTAGATGGAAGGTAAATTAAACATATTACGTGTAATCTTCAAGTGTTTTCACGGGAGAAATGCGAAGAGAAATGCTTTAAATAAATATTTTCATTTTCCGTCATATACGTCATGAGACCTCTGTTGATGTGTTTCTTGAAAGAAACTATCAAAGTCAAGCGCACTTTCACTCGTCCGCTTCACCGAAGCTTGAAAGAATGCTAGCGACGGGAGAAAGAGAGACAAGCGATTACACTTATGCTAACCACTAGCTCAGCCAGCTCAACCAACTAGCTCGAATTTTAGTTGTTCTTGAAAGCTCATGCTGGTAGATGCTGACGCCCTGTTTACATTATGCTGGCTAATTTTTAATACAGTGATAGTACACTAGCGCTAGCAAATCAGCACAAATGTTAACACCACATTACCGCCTTGACCATAAGTAGAAAATATCAACCGTATCAATCGATAGATACCACCACTTGTTCGTACTAGGGAAAAGGAATGTAATGTCGGCCTAAATGCCCCTAATTTGGGCCCATACATAAATTCAGCAATCGACTAAATTTTCAATAGCGACCAAAAATATCCATTAGTACCGTCCCAATGACGCGTTCATCTAGATAAAATTGATAAAGAGCAGATTTTTAGCGATGGGCCCAATCTTAGATCCACAGGTCAACATTAGAGCCATTTCCCCTATTACTGTTTCTCTGTAATGTGCTGTCTCTGACACTTAATTCTGACTTATGCCCGAAAATCGTAAACGGCCGATTTAAATGTGCAGTGATCCGAACTGTCAAAACCATTGGAATTTTTTTAACTAGATAAAAATAATTTGTCCAGAATAGATCAGACACGAACCAATTCATAACTTTTGCATGCGTGTTCATGGCTTAGCTAAATATTTCCCGCGAACACAGAGCTAGCTGTCAGTAGTGTGCTTTGGTCAGAAATTTTATAGTTTGTGCTATGGTCAATGGTCATTCATATCGGTTTGTCGGTGGTAATAAATCGGGTGTGAGCGATCACAAAAATATTGAAGATTATGTAAGTACCAGGCAGGGATGGATTGCTCTTTCGGGACAACCCATCTTTTTTTTTTAACTAGTTCGTTTGTTTACTAGGCTCAGTCGTGTGTGACACTTTGCGGAGCCAACAATCCGTAATTTTTTAATTAACATTTTAAAACAGCAGTAGATCTAGGTAAGTATTGGGTACCACTCGTGGCGGGCTCGAGATTAATGGGTAACAATTTCGATTGGAAGGAGCGAGGTAGGAAACACGTTTCTGAAGCCTTCTTCAGGTACTACCATAGAGGTAACTCTAAGACTAGAAGGTCCCGAAATAACGGGCTCAACTTTTTGGCTCAGCTCTGCTACTCTCTTCGGTCCCAAGCTAGTCGATTCACCCCTCGAAACATAGGAAAATCCACTAACCCCTCATTTTATCTGTCAAACTTTCATAGCGAATCAAAACAAACATTGTGTAGTAGTAGAATTTCGATTAGAATGGGGTACGTTAATCGTTTGCTTGGGACCAATAAGCTAGTCAAGTAGTGAGCCAATTTCAAATCGTTAGTTTCGTATTGATTGTTGGTACTACTCTCGAACGGTTGACCAAATGCTGGCTGGGCAGGGGCAAGTAGCACAGAAACAGGTGGATAATAAGACTGGGACACAATAGCTGGAAAATGTGTGGGAAGGAGGGGATGGTCACATCAAATTCTAGACAAACAAAGGAATTCGTAGATTGCCTGCATGTAGGGAAGATCACGGGTTCCCAATACATCTCTTACTTCACGGAAGGGTTGTCTACCTCGGGCCACTAGGGTGTCTAATAGTCGTGCTCTGGAGCCGTCATTACCCGGGCAATGCCAAACTGCGTGATCGATGTCATCATAACCGGTTCTGCACCTACATATATTGCTGTCAACGAGGTTTATTCTGTAGAGATGTGCGCCTAGCAAGTAGTGGTTGTCCTAATAAAATAAATACCATAAACGAATGATAACTCAAATGATTGAATTATTCTACAAATGGGTTGGATGATACCCCGAACACGTCGTTAAGCAATCTAACCATAACATTTTTATTCGGGTGGACATAAGTCTTGACCTCACGCAAATGAATCCACGACTTGCATCCAAACCAGTCTTCAAGATGCAAGCAGGCTTTTGCGCTTACCTGAACATTCACTCTATGTTCACGCATGCACTCAGGAAAATGATCTTGCACCCCAGCATGAGTGCAATGTTTGCGTTCGAACATCGCTTGCTTCAGCGTTTGAAAAACATCGTTCGTACAGAAGCGCAGCAATCCACCGTTAGTTTTTGGACTCATCCTTGCTTTTTGTTGTTATTGTGTGACTGACATACGCGATGCATTTACAGCGTGGTGAAAAACGAATTTTTATCCAAATATCTATTATTGGAAGGAATTGCTCCGGAAGCGGCTGTTATTGTGAAGCTATGATGTGCTATCAGCTTCAGCTATCAGCTGCCATAAGCAGGGCTGGCAAATGTCATTTTCAATGAAAGATCTCATGCGATATTTACATAGATACTTCTGTCACTATCATCGGATGAGAAAACGATGATAGAGATTTTCTTCAAAATCTCATCGAAATTTTTGTCATGATAGAACGTGATCATCGTAATTACTAGCTCATTTATTGCTATTAATGTAACTACCACCGAGGAAATCTTAATTATATATTCACTCTACCGATTACATACGGTTGCTTGATTAAACTCATCTAAATCAGTTATAAATGTTGATGTCAAAACCGCATAAGAATTATTCTCATGAGTGTTTGATCATTGGAAAATGACAAGAAATCCAATGATAGGTAGTTTCGACTCGTGATAGTGAGAGGACCTGTTTTCTCATTGTCATATGACGGCCGTGATATTTACCAGCTCTGGCCATAAGTAAATTTCAGCAAATCCTATAAATAACTCTCCTACCGGTTGGTTATATGATTTTTTTTTATTATGTTCACTTTAACACTCTTGGGTCATTCGTGACTTGTCCGGGGGTGGGGGAGTTGTAAACCACCCTCTTATTTCATGCATCGTTCGATACTTATCATGTAAGGCCCTCCCCACTTTTTGTTCCACCTGCATATCGTTTTACTTCATTACTATTGAGAAATGATGAAGCATTCGCGGTTATTCTTGTTTTCATAGCAAGGAACCGATTTTAATAGAAATGTCCCTTCGAAGAGTTAGAGCACCTTCTAAAGGCACACCCATTTGTCAGTCAAAATCGGATTCTTTAGTAACAAAATCAAAAAACGACAACGATATTGACCATGCATCAGTACCCTAGTCTCGACCACTTCACCAACTTCACTGATTTGCATTACATAAGTCGACAGTGAGCATGCAAAAGGGCGTATACGCGAAGATCGATTCTCTTCATCGATTTTCTCTTTGCATTGCTACAGCTAAGCGAAACAATTTTCTAGAATTTGTTCCATGCAGAGTTGTAACAGGTTGTATTGGCTATCAAAAGCAACAGCAAACGCACCGAAAAACGTTAATTTAGCGAGTTATTAACAAAAGAGAAAATCGACGAAGAGAATCGATCATCGCGTTTACGTCCTTATGCATGCTCACTGTCGATGTATTCTCTCATACACACTAAAGCCCTACAGTAAAAGTATGGACGACTGTCACCACAAAACTGAAAAAAGCTGTTCCAATCGAGCAAAGCGGTGCATTTTGACGGTTTGATTGGAACAACTTTTGACAGACGTCCATACTTTTACTGTAGGGCTTTAATACACACCCCTCAACAACGTTTATGTCCGCACATAGTTTGCTTCAGCGTTTAAAAAACATCGTTCGTATTCAAGTGCAGCAAACAGGCGTTGGCGTTGGAAAGAATGAATGATATTAAAAATAATTATAAAACGGAACAATTCAAGCTCGAACCATGAACTTTGAGTGTATCAGACTGTGATGTTCACCTCTCGTCTGTCATTACTCTGAAAGATGTGTAGGCTAATGGCGTGTAAGAGGCGTTCATCGCTTTCAGCTGCCCTTTCTGTTGCAACATAGCAAGCCTCAATGTTCACACTTGCGTGCATGTACGAAGTATCACGTTCGATGTGCAGAGTACACCTGAGTTCGAAAGGTAACACGCGCCTTCAATGAACGTGCACTGAAGAAATTGAAACTCAAGCTCAACGCCGTCTATGTTTCGTGACGACTGAACTACACTCTCGAAGAAACATTTGGAGCTATGGAATGTAACCACTGCCCAAGAAAATTACTTGTCCAATCGTTTTGCCAACTTTAGAAGAGAACTCTGACGTACTAATGGGAAAAAATCATCATGTGAAATTCTTCTATCATAAATCGTAGCCAACTTAGCTTCAATCGTTCATTCCTCATTTCAAAACAATCCGCAGCGGCCAAAACGTGGAGGAAGCATTTCTGGAAACGGCCCGTAAGATTTACCAAAGCATTCAGGATGGTCGACTGGACCTGAATTCGTCCGAATCGGGTGTACAGCATAAAGCAGCCCAACCGGGACGAACCTCGCTGAGCAGTGATGCGCAGAATAATAAGGACAACTGTTCGTGTTAATCGTTCTGGCCCCGCCTAGTGGTGTCTAGTTTGTCCCAAACAAGAGGAAAATTGTAAACGTTTGGAAATGGTATGCGTGGAAACAGAACAGAACGGAACAGTCTTTGGGAGAGATATAGGAAGTACCTATATTGTTCGATTCTCTGCTGTAGTAAGCACCATTGTAGTTTTGCCAAAGTGAGTCCGGATTGGAAACAAATCTATAATTCTATCAGTAGCGCGAAAGTTTGTAATTAAAAAATTATAATAACCGAAAGTCATGTAAAACGGAGAACAAATCCTTGTAGTATAATTAAGCTGGTAAAGGTTATTGAACGGTTCCGAAATGTTTATTTGTTGTTGATTTAGTTCGAGTTTTTTGAGCAATCACTGTTATTTACAATGACTTGTAACGAGAAAGATTTTATGATTTCCGATAAATATTTGTTAGATATTTTAATTTCAATTTGCAGCGCAGCATGCAATTCTAACCGTAGTACGTGTATAATACATCCATATTATTACTAAACACCTTAAGGTAACAATATTACCGAAATGTTTATTATAAAGCAAAAAGTATATGATTGGACCCATAATGTAGCCGAACAATAAACACATTTTTGTAGATATATAATCAAAATCTCGCAAGAGAGGGTAATATCGATGAAAATATATTTACGGAAAGAACAATTTAGTGACCCCATCTCAGAATTGGAGATCCTGCTTGTGTTTCTGCTCGAAAATTTTATTTAGCACGTTTTAAGTCAAGCTCTGTGCAGATATTTTCAAACCAGCCACCTCCAACCATAATATTGGAAGCGTCCATCATTTTCTAGTACAAAATATATGTTAAACAATATCCGAATCTACGATTTTACATCACCCAAATTGAATTCCCTAAATTTTAAGGTGCGACTTCCCGCAACTATTCCATTTTACCTAAATTGATTGCAGCGGGAATCGCCGCAATCCAAAGCCTACACCGTCGGAATGAAAACAAATCTATGATAAAGTTTGATGCAAATTGTAACTAAAAATAAAAGAAAACCCTGATCAAAAAGGTAATGAAATTCATCTAAAGTATTAACCTAAATCGAAAGGAAGAAGGCTAAAAATGCCTTGGACGTGATGATAAAAGGCAACAGTGAGCATGTAATTTTAGAGGGAAAAGAAAATATTAAACGATAGTCTTGAATAAAACTACGAAACTGACATTTAGATTCTATCACATAACCGGATGAGCATTTTGTTTCTACCCTTAGTGAAATATCACATCCTTGTAAGGGTTTTCCACGCCTTCTCGCTTCATCTTTTTTTAACGTAAAACTACCGTGGAGTGCCGTAATTTCACGCAGTTAGAAAATTGCACAAACTTCCACAGTTCGCTCCAAACTAAATTGTTGTCGCCGTTGTACCTCCCTCTGTGGATCACGCAATCGAATGTTTCGGTGCGCTTTGTTCATTGTCTCAGGGTCGGCCGCTTTAGTCCTTGCCGGTGAAAGCTAAAATATGACTATGACAGTATCAAGAAATTTAAATTTCATACTGCGTTAGTTTTTATTTGAAACACGAACTCTTTTGAAATCTTCTTTACAAATCCAACATAAAAAACGCACGGTTTCAGGGTCTTAAATCATCGACAAACCGACATGAATGACCATAGCAAAAACAATAAAAATTCTGACCAAAGCACACTACTGTCATCTGGCTCCGTGTTTGCGGGAAATATTTAGCTAAGCCATGAATCCGCATACAAAAGTTATGAATTGGTTCGTGTCTGATCTATTCTGGACAAATTATTTTTATCTAGATAAAAAAAAGTCCTATGGTTTTGAAAGTTCGGATCACTGCACATTTAAATCAGCCGTTAACGATTTTTGGGCATAAGTCAGAATTAAGTGTTATGTCGGTTTGTCGGTGCTTAAATCACTGTGCCTTGCAAGCACCGACAAACCGACATGAAACTAAAACCACAGACAAACAGACATAACACATTGAATATTTCTCATTGTAAAACATCGTCGCTAAAACATTACCGCCATCTGTTGAGTACACTGCGGTGGGTAGTACACTGAACAGATGGCGGTAGTGTGTAAACGTCAAACGCAAGGAAATTGACTATGCGCGCCACACCTGGACCCTACCTATCGATCCATCAACTCATGAACCGGGGACCAACGGCTTTACTTCCCATCCGAAGGAAGGCGTGATCAGAGATGTTATGCCTCAGAACATCCCGGCGGCGCCGACTGGGATTGAACCCAGGCCTGCTGGGGTGAGAGGCAATCACGCTTACCACTACACCACCGGCGCCGTTAAACACATAAGTCTTGACATCACGCAAATGAATCCATGACTCGCATCCAAACCAGTCTTCAAGATGCAGCATAGCGCTGATGTGCAAGCAGGCTTTTGCGCTTACCTGAACATTCACTCTATGTTCACGCATGCACTCAGGAAAATGATCTTGCACCCCAGCATGAGTGCAATGTTTGCGTTCGAACATCGCTTGCTTCAGCGTTTGAAAAACATCTTTCGTACAGAAGCGCAGCAACCCACCGTTAGTTTTTGGACTCATCCTTGCTTTTTGTTGTTATTGTGTGACTGACATACGCGATGCATTTACAGCGTGGTGAAAAACGATTTTTTATCCAAATATCTATTATTGGAAGGAATTGCTCCGGAAGCGGCTGTTATTGTGAAGCTATGATGTGCTATCAGCTTCAGCTATCAGCTGCCATACATAAGTAAATTTCAGCAAATCCTATAAATAACTCTCCTACCGGTTGATCATTGTTCATTGTCTCAGGGTCGGCCGCTTTAGTCCTTGCCGGTGAAAGCTAAAATATGACTATGACAGTATCAAGAAATTTAAATTTCATACTGCGTTAGTTTTTATTTGAAACACGAACTCTTTTGAAATCTCCTTTACAAATCCAACATAAAAAACGCACGGTTTCAGGGTCTTAAATCATCGACAAACCGACATGAATGACCATAGCAAAAACAATAAAAATTCTGACCAAAGCACACTACTGTCATCTGGCTCCGTGTTTGCGGGAAATATTTAGCTAAGCCATGAAACCGCATACAAAAGTTATGAATTGGTTCGTGTCTGATCTATTCTGGACAAATTATTTTTATCTAGATAAAAAAAAGTCCTATGGTTTTGAAAGTTCGGATCACTGCACATTTAAATCAGCCGTTAACGATTTTTGGGCATAAGTCAGAATTAAGTGTTATGTCGGTTTGTCGGTGCTTAAATCACTGTGCCTTGCAAGCACCGACAAACCGACATGAAACTAAAACCACAGACAAACAGACATAACACATTGAATATTTCTCATTGTAAAACATCGTCGCTAAAACATTACCGCCATCTGTTGAGTACACTGCGGTGGGTAGTACACTGAACAGATGGCGGTAGTGTGTAAACGTCAAACGCAAGGAAATTGACTATGCGCGCCACGCGTGGCGGTACTACCAACTACGACACTTTTATATTGACCGTTAAATACTTGTTCGATGAACAACTTGCTAGTGTTATGTCTGTTTGTCTGTGCTAAAACTTAACTCTTGATCGAGAATCCATAACGGCGGATTCAAATGTGCAGCGATCTCATCTGTCAAAACCATAGAAATTTGTTATCTAGATTAAAATAATTTGCCAGGAATAGATTAGACACGAACCAAATCATACATTTAGTATGTGTGTTCGTGGCTAGGATACACATTTTTCGCGAACACGGCGGCAGATGTCAGTTTTATGCTTTGATCAGAAATTTGATGATACTTTGTATGATCATTCATGTCGGTTTGTCGGTGTTGCAAGGGCTTTCCACACTTTTTACTTAATTTTTGTTATGTACATGGAACCGAAAAATTACCCAAAATTAAGTTCTTTTCATTCATCTCCCATGTTCCGTTCAATAAGCTAATTTTCAGTAAACTGCTTATAGTAGTTTACATTTGACTACGGCAAAAATAATTACTTACTCGTGAGTATATTCTACCCAAAATTAAGTTCAATTGACTCAAATTTGAGAACATCTCATATACTTACTAGTAGCTTATTGAACGATAGTCATGAGAAAATCGATTCCCTCGTTCCGTTTTTGACAACAACAAAAAGTGAGAGTGGGATGCAAAACTTAAAATTACCCAAAATTAAATAAAAAGCTCTTAAATTGAGAGTATTTTTTTCTCTGTGTAGGACCAGTGTTCAGAAAAAAAACCAAATCTCACCAATGCACAAGATCACGCTTGTTTTTTTCAGATAAAAATCAACAAGCAAACAACTGCGGTTGATTTTGCAAGCTGTGATATCGCAGCTCGAAATATCAAGCTAACAAAACTCACCAGCTGGAAATCTCACCAAACTGTGGTGAGTTTGAGTTTCATGAACCGAAACTTCCATAACAACTGGCAGCAGTCGCTTCGTGTCTGCCATCTGAGAAGAGAAAAAAGAGATAGCATTATATTATACCTTCTCTCTCTAAGAAAACGAGTTGCTTGCAACGGAATCATTTTTGCGTCAAGTCAACTCTCAGCTTCAACTTTACATGTTGTGAATAGTCTCGCAATAGGAGCTCGTAAAATCAATATCAAGCATGATATTTTGTTCCAATATCACGCGTGATATTGAGAGCGTATGAGAGGGGAAAAATATCATTTGATTGATGATTTTGCCATCACTGTGGCTATGTATTTGTGGAATATACTGGGATGCAAATTGGAAGTGTCACGAAATAGAGTTTTTATTATTTATGTATTGAGCAGTTCCAGGTCGAATAGCAATAAAAATTGAATTTTTGACTCGAAATCCTCCGACCAAAGACCGGAAAGCGAAAATCCGTAACTTTACGACATTTTAAATGTATGCTGCGCGACATTTGGGATTGATTCGTTCATATTAATAAACTGCTTTAATCAGAATATTCCTCAGAATGGTTCATTTCTCGAAATGCAATCTTCTGGAATATACCGTTTTCCGGCAAACCATTTTTCGGTATATTATTTTGATAAACAATGGAACATTTCCTGCTTTAAGTAGTTTAACAACGAAGAAAACATTTTCGTTTTAACTATAGAAGGGAATATTCCATTCTTTGAATACTTTTATAAAGAAGTGAATGTTTCCAGCTTTGAATAATATGGCTCATACGGGGAAAATAAATTCTGGTAAACGTATCATTCCGGGAATTGGTATTTCGGCAAATTACTTTACGGGAAGCATCACATTTTGCGAAATGTCATTTCGGAAAATGACATCTTATTGGCATTTTTAAGATGCCAAATAGTGGTAAAATTTACTGTTATTGTTGTATAATATTAAAATAACACTCAGTCCGCATCGTGTTCTCTTGTCGTTCGGTTCTATTTGCTTTTTGCTCAAGGAAGTGTTACTGCTACCTAAAGCTACACGGAAACAAATCCGATTCTTTGACTATATGTTTTAGTATTACTTCTGCGTGAAGTCAACGATTTACATAGTTGAAGATGCTAATTTCAAATAACAGACTGTAGTGGTAATTTTTATACGATAGATGGAGTAGATGAAAGCATAGAGTTGATAGTTCCGTTAGAGTACGGCAGTGTGAAAATTGCATATATATATTAGAATAGCGAGCTAGGACAACTTTTAAGGAAGGTACAAATCGGTTTTTTCATCTCTCTTTACCAAACTCCCCCTTTGGAGAGGGATGGTGAGGGTTGACCCCCCCCCCCCGCCACCACTGGCAAAAAGAGATCAAAACCGACCGCTCAAATACCAACGGTGTGTTTGAAACAGTTCTACCGATTTTTTACCGCACTTCAGTTGTTATTTGAAGGAAGGCATCCAGTCGTAGGTTTGGAAATTGCAACTATTGTTTACCCCTATCACGATATGTGCTCCTGTCATCGTCGACTTGACGATCTCGAGGGGACACGGACACGGACGAGGACATACTCCATCTATCGTATAAAAATTACCACTACAGTCTGTTATTTGAAATTAGCATCTTCAACTATGTAAATCCGATTCCATTTTCATGATTAAAAAATCTTGAAACGAAAAACTTGCCATCTCATGAAATCGTAACAATGATTCATGATTTCGTCATGGAAATTCATGATTTCATAATGCAGTGGAATCAAGACCGCTAAAAGCGTTACATGTACTTGGCAAACCGTGTTCATAAACCGCACTACATAGGTATCTCTTATACGCCTTTTGTCTTCTATCTTATACAAGTACTGATAGTCAAAGTATGGGTTTAATGATCTCAAGGTTCTTGGTTCGAATCCAGTCTGATGCTTTATTTTATTCTTTTTGCATTTTTTGTTAAAAGTTAAACCCATGAATTTAGCTCATGATTTCAACTCGGATGATTCATGATTTTGAGAGTGTTTGCTGCGTTACGCAAAAGTTGCTCATGATATCATGAATATTATTCATGGTGTATTTTCATAACATGAAAATACGCTGTGTTCATGAAATCATGAGTCATTTTTCTCATTTCGGAGATCGGATTTTTTCCCGTGTACAACTAATTTAAACAGCACTTTTCAGTGCTCAATATTACCTGTAAAATTTCTACCTTGTTTGACTCTTATTCCTCTTCGATCCTTGTTTATGCCCTACCCAAGGTAATCCTGCTTGGTCATCGACTTGGAAAATTCCTCTTCGATCCTTCGTATTCTTATAGTAACCTGCTTGGAAGTCGATTTGGAGAAACTTGGTTCTGCCGCCCTGGCACCTAAGCGTAAAAAAAACGGGCAATCGCTTGATCCCTCTTCTGATGAAATTCAATTGAGCAATCAATTTAATATGCATACGGATGATGAGAATGATCCATCATCCAGGAAAAATTCTAGTAAACATTCCCGGCTTAATGTCAAAAAGGAAAAGATTCCCCTATTGTGGTAACCAATTCCGATTTCCATGCTCTTTCGCACGGAACTTTTGAAGTTCGTTAAATTTAAGTTTCCATTTCAAATTGGTCTTCGGTGTGGATGCCGTGTATTCGCTGAAACCTTGGACGGATTCAAACGTCTTCTCAAGTATCTTACTGAGAAGCAATACAAATTTTTTAGTTACAACACCAAAACTGAACGTCTGTTCAAGTCTGTTCCTATATATATATATATGATTACCACAGACAAACAGACTTAACACTTCATTGTATATCTTCGTTCATGCATTTAACGGTTGATTTGAATATTATCAGTTCCACGAACTACTCGCCGTAGCGCTGGCATCCGATCACTTTGACGTTTCTATACATTCTATAGAAATTTTATGCAATATTGTTTGCGAGTTAGCGAGCAAGCTTGTTTTCCGCGAGAAGCCCGAGAGATGTCGTTACTGAAATCATATGTTTTGAGATACTATGTTTTCAAGAAAAACTTATTCAAAGAGTTAATTCTGTTTGTCTGTGTGATTACTATCTAGATCATGTTGTTAAAAAAACGGTCACATGTCATCTCGATGGCCACCGCCAGTACGTTCGAGGGATGTCATCAAATTCCAAACACAACCCAAAGTAGCTTTTTATTTCAGGTTTACTGTATTTTTACTTTATGATGTCCTTTCTGGTTCACTTGAATCAACATCCATATTTTCAAAGAGATAACCTAATGCATTTAAGGGAGAGAGAGAGAGGACACTCAATCACACTCACTCGTGTGTATGAAAATCTCTTTACTTAAGTGTTCGTTTTTTTTAAATTTAGTTTTGCATTCTCAGTATAGTTAACTTACGCATCAGTTTGCTGACAATTGTTCGCTGCATCTTTATTTATGGTGAACCAATGCCAGTTTTAAGCGGTAGCTTCTGGATTGAGAACACAGTATATAAAACGTATCGCAATAAATAGAACAGTCGTTGAAAAATTAGTGGAACAATAAAGGTGTTTCTTGACTTGTAGTTTGGAACTAACGCATATTTGGAATGATTTATCACCGAGTAGATTTTTTAAAACTTACCTTTTTATGATAAATTTTGATTTTTGTTTGATAGAATTCGTATTGCTTAGTATAAATAACTCACACCGAGGGCTTGAATAATTGATGAAGCAAAGAGAGCAGCCTATCTTGTTCGCGAGAATCGTTTAATCCTTTATATCCTTTTTTCTAGATGCAAGTAGCGAAGCGAAGCAGATGGTGCATTCAAAATATGTAAGTGTTTCGATTTTTCTTATTGCATTTTTCAACTATTCTAACGCGCGAATGAGTCAACGGTTTATTTTACACTTCTCATTCTATTTGTGCTGATTAGGTATCGTTATTTTTGTTCAATACTGTAATCACCGGCAAACCGACATGAAACATAACCTTAAATCTTGATCGAGAATTCATAACGGCCGATTCAAATGTGCAGTGATCTTATCTGTCAAAACCATAGACAGAGAAAAAATACACTAAATTTAAGTTCTTTTTACCTAACTTTGAGTTTTGCATCCCACTCTCACTTTTTGTTGTTGTCAAAAACGGAACGAGAGATTCGATTTTCTCATGACTATCGTTCAATAAGCTACTAGTGCGTATATGAGATATTCTCAAATTTGAGTCAATTGAACTTAATTTTGGGTAAAAAATACTCACGAGTAAGAAATTATTTTTGCTGTAGTCAAATGTAATCTACTATACGCGATTTACCTACTAAAAATCAGCTTATTAAACGGAACATGGGAGATGAGTGAAAAGAACTTAATTTTGGGTAATTCTACGGTTCAGTGTAGAAATGTTTTATCTAGATAAAAATAATTTGTCCGAAATAGAAGAGACACGGCTAGGATAAATATTTTTCGCGAACACGGCGGCAGATGTCAGTTTTGTGCTTTGATCAGAAATTTCTTTGTAATTTATATAATCATTCATGTCGATTTGTCGGTGCTGTAATTTTGTGTATGACAGAGATCTACGTTTGCTGTATTATAATGGCAATCAGGGTTTGCATTTTAATCTCTCGTTTACAATGCGCTATAATCTTGATCTGCAACGCATTCGAATCATCATCGTTTATGGAGCAATTTTTCAAAACCCTGATGGCAATACAGGGATACTCTTTTACGTTGGAAGAAAAGTTCCGGAAGTTTTCTGATGAACTTCAATTGCATTCCTAGCACAAAAATTTGAAAACTGTCGCAATGCCTAAAGGATGTTAACCAAGTGGTATAAGCTCAATCTTTTCGGTCCATGTTTATACCGTGTCGGTCAGGGTAAATATCATTCTCGGGAACATGCACACACTTGCTCATGCTACGCTACCGGTGCAGGAAACATATTCAAAATTGCCAACGGGGAACCGTACAAAAAAACTAGTCGGAACTCGTTCTGCCTACACCATTTTTTAATGACTATCTATATCCTATAAAATTGGGGAGTGCTAAATGTAAATATATCTGGTTTTTGTTTCACTATGTTCCTTCCTGTACCCTACATAGGCAATTGTTATGTTGACTATTAGCTTGCATCCTGTTTAAATATTATTATTATGTTTGTATTGAAAAATATTTATTGACTTTGCAGCTTGGTATTACAGTTTATCGCTTTTTAATTTGAAAATGTATGTGATTTTATAATCCAACGGTAAAATGCGATCTTACTTCACTATTTGATGTGCATTCTGTCAAGCCGAGTGCGAAACAAAAAATCGAAGTAAACTAAATATGAAAGGTAAAAGCACACGAGTACATCCGGTGAAATGCCGTCCGTTTAAAATATTAGCTTCAAATCAGTCCATAACGGTATCACAAACAAATGAGGTATAGCTTGAAAAATCTTTGGAAAATTTACGGCGAAATATTAAGTTTAGTAAAATTAGGAGTAAATAAACTAGGTGACTTAGAATGAATCCAGAGTATAGTAGAATTCGGCGTCCGTGCAATCACCGGTGGTAGGATTTTTGTCATCATTGTTAGCGTTTGCTCCTTTCCCAGTACATCACAGTTGTATCCTAGCTTTGCTTTTAATGCTACATGTCAGGAGCAGATAACGTGGTCTATGAAAGAGATCAGAAAAGATTGGTTCAAGCAACATTAAATGTGATGATCATACCGTACCGTCTACCTTTACACCATACGCGTCTCTTCAATTAAAAATTAACTCACCTACCTGTATCAATAGCCTTCTACGTCGTGAAGGTCAACCCGCTTGTAGTATTCCTCCTGGGAGGTGCAGTCCCACTCATAGTCGCGATAGAATTTAGCCCTCCTAAACCACCACCACCCAGATTCCCGTACATGCTACTACTCATACTCGCACTTCCAGCATTAGCTCTTTGCTGTTGCAGCTGCTGGTGTTGTTGCTGTTCCTGGAGATAGAGCTTCCGATATTCGGCATACATTTGTCGGGCTTGATTCAGTACCCGTACCACATTGTGCTTTCGAACCATTTTGTCAAAGTGCATTGCCATCTCGTTGTAGTCCATTCCAGTTTTGATTATGTAGTCCCGATGTTGCAGCAGAATGGTCAAGCAAAGAAACATTAGGAATGGATTTCCGCCACCGAATTCATGCGGAGCAGGTAGGACTCCGGCAACCTTGATCGATTCGGTACCGTCCAGCCCGGTTGCATTGGTTGGGACGTTCACCGATGGCTGCTGGATGGCTAGGTCAATTTTGGACGCTTCAGATGCTTCCTCGAAGGAATTGCTTGAACCAGCCATATTTGCTGGCTGCGGGGTGTTCAGCGTGGCTTCGGGTGGTGAAGAGGTTGTTAGGATTCGCATCGGTTCGATGCTATTTGCTTCGTAGAATGGATTATTGGGATGGAATCTAAAATTGACTGTGGGGGATCTATCTGGGGAATCGTCCGAGTCGGATTCCGGCAGGATCATTGAATTACGGTTAGAATTGCAGTTGGATTGGTCACCCGTTCGACGAACCAGGCGTATCGGAGTGACTGATTTTTTGCCCGTTCCTGTTTCTACGATTATTTCTCCATCGTATTCGAGCTCGGGGTATTCATCGGGAGTGGTAGCCGTTCGCTCGATCATGGTTGTTAGTGGCCGAGCCTGCGACAATTCACCTCCGCCGGTGGAGAGTGAGCTTTCGACCTGATGGAGCGGATTCTCCCACACGAAAACGTCCGCATTGGCACTGGAGGTACTGACACGCTTGCTGTCGATATCTATATCACTTTTGGGTCTCTTTTTCTCCCGATACCGAACAACATCTGTGCTTGGGACTTCCTTCAGAGCACAGATCTCGTCTACTGATTGCATTTCTAACGCATCACCCGAGCCATTTTGGTTCAGTTTGCGATAGCTAATTGGGTGTACTTGTCCGAACGTTTTAATCGAATCTACACTCTCCGGTGGAGTATCAAGTTCAATACATCCGCCCAGTGTGTAAAATCTCTGCTGATTGTGAAAGTCAGTACCGAACACATGACGATCAAGATTCTCCAGCTCCAGTCTCAGCTCTCGTGTCATCGAAGTCGTCATTGGGAAGTATTCCTGCGAGTCATCCGGACTACTTCCATCCTGAATTTGCAGTTGGAATTGATTATTACCATTTTCTTCGTCGTCTTCTTTTTCACCATCGACCTCCTCCTGGAGTGGTTGATGAACCGGTGATACCGAAACGGAACTATCGTCCACTATAAAGCTACTATTATCACTGGATCGTGATATGGCCGTAAACGAATCGACAACCCCAATGCTGGACGAATCGGAATCATCGAACGAGGACTTGGTCAGCTTGATGAGCGGTTTCGGTTTCAGTTCATCGTACTCGATGGTCTCGGTCGAGTCATCATCCATGGTAAAAGACGATCCGGTCGTTATAGTGACAGTGCTACCAGTGGAATCCAGCGATGAGGCAATCCGTTTATTATTCAACCGATCACTAATGCGGCTCCGGTTCATAGCAGCGAAGCTAAGGAATTCGTTAAAGTTTTTCACCAGCTTGGGCTTCCGATCGTCACCTCCTTGGCCTCCGGGGCCAGCTGCTGGGGCTTCGGAATCCGATTTGTCCAGCGATGCGAAAATGCCTGTGAAAAGAAGGATGAATAGCCTTTATAGTCATCAGTCGGCAAATTAAAAGAATAATGTTTTGACCACAAATGACCGTTCATTTTTCATTTGGTTCATTGTACTTTAAGAAACAACTTGAAGAAGGGCAGTAAGAAGCATTTACTAAAATAGCTCAAACTTCATAAAAACTCAGCCAATCAAGCTGAAAATTATACCGATACATTTTGAATATTTGATCCACGGGCAACGAAATTTTAATTTTTTGATGCACATACTGAAAAGTTACAGCTCTTTGAAATTTTTTGAGAGACTGTACTGTCAGTACTGTAAATCTCAAACTTAAACACTCGAAAAATTTCAAGCTAGGGAAATATCTTTCATTTCTCGCATCTAAATTTATCTACTTGCATCGCGCTCCATCTTTTCGCAGAAAATCTCACAATCTTCTTTCTATCTACTCAGCATGCGCGCATTTCACCCAACAGAGTAACCTATGTGCAGCTGTTCAACAACTTTTTTTCTAGGCCGTATAGCGGGTCTATTCTGTTCCATAGTGTCCTCAGACCCAGAGTTCCCTTAGAGTTTTAGGGTCACATCACTTTCTCTTCAAGCTATGTGTGACAGTTGCCGTCACCGGATTTAAATGGTTTACAATAGCTCAATTACCTAGAAGTGGTTTTGTGATATGAGGAGCTCGGTGGCTTAGTCGCGATCGTTTTTGCTTACTGAGCAGATGATCGTGGGTTCAATCTTAGACTCCGTCACAGTATAGAATTGTAAGTGTCGCATCGCTTTCTATCCTAACATGAACTCATTACTTGAATTCAGCGTATCGCTTACTCAGAACTCTCCTCACAACACTCTTTCCACAATTGTCTTGAAATATTAGTCAAGACAACCTTGTCTCAGTTTCATTGCTGTCTATTTTGTGGAAGCTTATATTTGTGCTCTGTAAATTTCGAGGTGATAATGAGATTCGGGGAAATGTAGTACAACCCAATACATGGCCGGTCACAAGTTCTGCGAATCCCACCTTCCCCCTAAAACACTACGTCATTTATGCACGGTACCTTAGCATGTGTTACCTGACAAATTGTTCGCTTGAAAACTGCCAGCAAAGATTCACCGTGGAAAATTAAAAATCTGCTCAAATCTCTTACCTTTCTTGCTGGCAGCTAGCTTCTCCTTCAAATCTCTAAAATGACCGCCGCTGGTGGTGCTGAAATTCTTCCGCTGAGTACTCAGCTGCCGTGCAATCAGGTTTCCGGTGCCAGCCGAAAATAAGCTTTTGCTTCTGGTGATCGGGGAATTTCGGGAGCTATTTTCCCCACTAGCCGGCTGCGATTGTGGTTGCAGCTGTGGCTGATTATCCGTTGGTGGCAGTTCCTTTCTTAGTTGCTGCAGTTGAGGTTGTTCTTCATTCTTGAACTCTTGAGTCACCACCTTCAGATCTAGCGGTTCGCCAGGGGTCACCGAATCTGGTGGGCTATCTAGGAAAGGATTAGTGCCAACTGTCGTGAGTGCTTCTGGTGCCTGCACCGGCGATTGTAGAAATACATTATCGTCTTCATCATCGGGGTCTTGTTCGGTTCCGTCTTGAGTCGGAATGTTGCATTCCAGAATGTCGTCATCTCCAACGCTGCGGACTATTTTCCTTTGTTTGACCAATGCGGTTTTCGCTTCGTCCAAGCTCTGGTGAATCTTGTTTATATTCTTGCTGTTGTATAACGTCTCGCGTGTAATATTTTCGTCCAGGCTGAGATTTAGTCTTTTCGTGGCGTCCAGTTTGCCCGGTCCAATGAGGATGTTAACCGGGTTGGTGCATGAGGAACTTAGTGAAAGCGCTGAGCTCTGCCGCCTGAGGGCGCATACTTTGGTGTATGGATTTTCTCGTGGAGTTCTCATCACGACCTGCGTAGGACTCTTCGGCTGTGGAACGTCCATCGGAGGAGGTTCGTATTCTTTTTCAAACAAAGCTAGTTCACTGTTCGGAGCCATAGGAGGCAGGGAACTCCATAATACTTCTAACATTCGCAGCGAATCTTCAAAGGCAAATTCTCGTTTCATCTCCAACAGTAACCATCGGTAGCAGAAGAGTAGATCATCCGCCTGATGCATTTTAAGGTAGGCGAAAAAATCCGGATCATAGTATTGCAGTGCCTCCGATAAGTGGTTAAACTTCAAAGTCATCGCAATCCCGTCTAGCATAAAATTGCAACTCAGTCTGGTCATAACTGCACAGAAACAAATGTACGCTTGAGCTTCGTCAGCCATAGTGACGAGTAGTGGCGAAGCAATGTCGGACATTCCCTGGCAATAGCTTACGGCCGGATGATTCAGAGCATAGGTTGTTAGTACGTTGAATAGTGAAGCGATGTTTTGATTATCGTCGCTGCCAGCGTAGAATGGATGCAACCGATCGGTTCGTAGAACATCCTTCCGAACCATACTAGTGACATATGCCAATTCGCCGACAATGTTTCCTTGCTGGACCGCTGTTCGCCACACGTCTCGAAGTTTATAGTATTCACCTTGAAACAATGAAATGTAAAAAAAAAAAAAAATGTTAGTTTATCACACTCATTCAAACCGTTTCTAAACTTACCAGATTTTTTCTTCATGTAATCCATCCTTTCCCTACCGGTCATTCCTTCCGGGTACACATTGAGTATGTGCTTCCAAATGACCCTTCTCAGACTGGGATCGATTCCTCCCAGATAGATAACCTTTCTCAGTTGTCCCGGTTCTATAATCTGACCTACTGAGTCGCAAAACGTCCTAAACTCGGCATCTGCCAACGGAGGTCTGATGGCTTGTGTCATCAAAGGATCTTCTGCTAGATTCAGGGCCCTCTGAACCAGCGAAAGCGTTTTCTCCATATGGTTCATTATCAGCCCTGGTAGCTTGGTTTGCACATACTTCTGACCAGCTCCGATCGATTGCTGCAACGAAACCAGTTCCCGTGTAATTCCTCCAGAATTTCCCGATCCGTCCCATTCCGAAGTCTCTGAGAATGGCTTTATGTCTACTCGCAAGTACAGACATGGTTCGCTTTTTGATGCTATCGATTGGTTATGAGCTCTCAGGAAGGCTGCTTCCAAATCCCAATCCGAAAGCACCACCAAGTAGCTTTCATGTCCAGTGGCATCCAATGCTTTGTAGCTAATGCCGAAGTCTGTCCGCAGATCAAACGCTTTCGCCAAAATTGAACACAGCACTTCGAGGCTGGTAATCTGTGGATCGACACTGAACTTCCGTGTCTCGGGTGGCACATTTTTCTCACATTTCTAAAGGATAGTAAACAATCATTGAAACTTTCCAAATTACACAACCACTTCGTTGTTGTTCTTACCTTTACTTTCACCCGCACAGCTTCCCGATTGTAGCTAAACACTCCAGACATTCTTAACAAGTTACTCAACTCCCTTCTAATCGCAACTCACAGGAATTTGCCTTTCCCGTGCCAGATTCTGTCTTGACCTTGTTTAGCCACCAGCCAGTTTCACTTTATTTTACCCTTCTACAACGACTAAACAATCGACCACCAATTATAATAGTACCTGTTCACGTTGGTGTTGAAGCCATATTTTCCGCTTTCGAAAGTTAAAACTTGAGAACAAACATACTGCTAGTGAGTGAGTCTGATTGATTGGAATTGATGAGAAACACCAGAGGAACATAAACAATTTGATGTACGTGACTCGTCCGAATTTTGCAGGAGTCCACAAGAGTTACGATTTTTTGCGAACCATTCTTGATAATTAATACGTTCTGGAACTGGTTCTTTATGAGATCAATCACTGGCAGTTCGCAGATGATTAAAAAACCTAATTTTCTGCAATCGTCTGGCACAGAAAAGAACGTCCTCCCACTAAATTTTACAAGAGTCTTATTGGATTTTTATTTATTTGACAAGGAAATGAAAGGAGTTTACAAAAAGTAGAGAGTGGCGGGGAGGTTATTTAACCTCCCAGTGAGCATGTTCTACACGAATGAATCATGAATCTATTAGCTGTGTTCAATCACTCCGGTGCAGAAACGTCATCCACCAACATTTTGATTGAGCCAAAGTTGTTGGTTCTTTGGCTCGATTATCTGCCAATCCAATACCCCGTACATAATATGGCTTATATCATGCAATAATTAACACTCATACAAACACAGCAAAAAAAAAATTGTTGAATATTACATCGAAACTGCTGCAACCAGGTCAATCCATCGGTTGTGTAATATCACATCGTACAATGTACATCGATTTTGCGAACAAAATTACATCCATTCCAGAACAACATGTGAAAAGGGCATACAAGCTTTTTGTAAACAAACCTTTGTAGGCCCTTTTCTCACCAACCGAGGGTCGCCCACGCAAACCAGCAATATCATCGGGAAGGGGAAAGTGTCCCCTACCCGATGATGTTAAAGGTTTGCGTTGGTGTCATATGGGTGGCGAGAAAAGGGCATAAGAAGGTTTGTTTACAAAAAGCTTGTATGCCCTTTTCACATGTTGTTCTGGCATTGATGTAATATTGTATCTGCTTTTTGCTATTACATCATTATTTCATACATCAGCTTGAATAGCGTAATTCAAGCTGATGTATGAAATAATGATGTAATAGCAAAAAGCAGATACAATATTACATGGGGGCGACCCCGGCTTAGTGGTTAATATCCATACCTCTCACGCCAAAGTCACGAGTTCAAATCTCACCCCCGGACAAGTCACGTATGACCCAAGAGTGTTAAAGTGACTATAATGAAAAAAAAAAAAAAAAAAAAAAACAATATTACATTAATGGATGTAATTTTGTTCGCAATAATTAACGTAATTCAAGCTGATGTATGAAATAATGATGTAATAGCAAAAAGCAGATACAATATTACATCAATGGATGTAATTTTGTTCGCAAAATCGATGTACATTGTACAATGTGATATTACACAACCGATGGATTGACCTGGTTGCAGCAGTTTCGATGTAATATTCAACAATTTTGTTTTGCTGTGTTTGCTATTTTTCGTATCTTGTTACATTCTATATTCTGTATTCCCAGAGAAATTATTAAAGACCGTGTGAAACAAGTTCGGTTCACAGCAAAAAAAAATGTTTTGTCGATCTACGTTGATCGACAATACATTTTTTTTTGCTGTGAACCGAACTTGTTTCACACGGTCTTTAATAATTTCTCTGGGAATACAGAATATAGAATGTAACAAGATACGAAAAATAGCTGTACACGCTGGTGTTGTTTTAGCATGCGATGTTGACAAAAGCCATAGATGTCATGGTGATGATGTGAGGGGTAGGAAACGATAGTCGGTGATTTCTCTCACAAGAATGACGTAAACTATTACATCAAAAGCACGTTTTTCTGAATTATATTTGCAATATTTATTTCCGACACTTCAAACATTCACAGTAGAGTGTTCCCATCAAATATTTGGACTGCGCATCAATTTTGAATTTATGTTAATTTTGGATACACGATGATAAACGATGAAAGTGAGCATATTACCCGTGGGTGAACTGAAGTAAGAAATTAATCATTTTACAGCAAATTTAATATTTCATATGATTTTTTTCAAATGAAGCAGGCTTTCAAAACATAACTTTATGCATTACAATAGAACACCCCAGTCTGACTAGCCTTTTTATCGCGTGAATTGTTATCGTAATGTGGCAAAAGATACATCAGAAGACAGATTTTCAGAATTTTGTTTTTATTTTTGATTCTTGACACTTGACACCCAGAAAAAAATAACCATACAATTACCATAAAATAAAATACAATTACAAGTAAATCTATTGCCAACAATCGATCTTATTGTGCGTATATAGTACACGAAGTTTTAACATATTGTTATTGCAATAGATGTACAATATGTCCCTTATAGTAATAGTTTTCAACAATAGAACAACAATACAATTAATGGTAAATGGTTCAAGTTTGTTCGGGAAAAAGTGGTTTTTCGAATGGTTAAGATACATAACGACCTCCTTAATCGATTATACACCATACCATACCATAGTTTACCAAAGAATCTATTGTAGAAACAATACATTCTATTGTTATTTTATCGTTGTGGAGAATACGATTTATTGTAAATGACATAAACTCTATTGTATGGTTACAACACATTTCATTGTACCTCTACGGTTCATTTTTACGGGGCAGCCATCAAACTTGTATAGTCGAGTGCTTTCTTGGATTGCCCATCATTGTTGCATTTAAATAAACGTTATATTTATAGAAATGCAAGGGGGCTTTTTGTCCGGATGAGGCGTGTGTAAAACGCCCTAATCCTACCCTAATTATTGAGCAATATTTCCGTGAGCAAAAAGACGTACAGCAATACAATTTTACTCAGCCACTGAGTTAGATTGAACGGCCGTGAAGGAACGAAACCGCTGGGTACCTCAGATTAGCAAATGTCATAATAAAACTTTTTTGAATGCGGTTGTTTGCTTTCGTTTTCCATCAACAGTCTTATGCGGGACTCTTATCGCTTTTTGTTGTCGTACCGCATTTCGTAGCGTGGTAATTAAAGTGTTTAGCAATATTGATTTAAATTTAAATTTCCTCGTGAAAAATGTACCCCCAAAGCTCTCAGAAAAGGTATTGGACCTTTAAAAGTGAGCAGGAATTGGCGGAGTTGAGACTGAAACAAAACTACAATTTCATAGCTCGACATGGAGCCGGCATGAGTGTGAGTACCTTCATAGAGGATCATTTAAGTTCTATACGGTGTATTAACCATTATTGCACATTTCCCACCAGGAAGAGCAAAAAGCTGCATTTTTCTTGTCAGCAGATGAAGAGCGACTTCTGCTGAAGCAGTATGAGCTTCAACTGAAAGAATTCTGTAAACGGTTCGAACCTCCAATGCCAAAATACGTCGTAGGTACGGCTTTCCACTACTTCAAACGGTTCTATCTGAATAATTCCTCTATGGATTATCACCCAAAGGAAATTCTGTAAGTACCTAGTTTTAAGCAAATTTCTTTTCAATTGAATCAATGTTTACATGTTCTTGTGCAGAGCTACTTGCGTTTATCTTTCCTGTAAGGTGGAGGAGTTCAATGTATCCATCAGTCAATTTGTTGCGAACATAAAAGGGGACCGGAGCAAAGCGATGGACATTATTCTTTCCAATGAGTTGCTGTTAATGCAGGAGTTGAATTACTATCTCACCATTCACAATCCGTTCCGACCGATTGAAGGATTCCTGATTGATATTAAGGTAATCGTTATGTTTGCTTGAATATTTTGCCTAATTTCTAAATTGAACCAATGGATGTTTTAGACTCGATGTAATATGAACAATCCGGATAGGCTCCGTTTAGGCATTGAAGATTTCATCGATAAGACATTCCTCACTGACGCACCATTGATGTATGCTCCTTCTCAGGTGATTAGCTTGTGAGCCTTACACAATAAGCTGAAATTTCTAGGTGTGTACTTTTTCTTTCGAAGATTGCTTTAGCAGCAGTTCTGCACGCTGCCAGTAAAGAGCAGGAAAATTTAGACAGCTACGTTACCGAATCGCTGTTTGGGACAGCAAAAGAAAAGCTACCAGTATTGATAGAAGCCGTTCGGAGAGTACGATCAATGGTGCGGACCATCGAGTTGCCCCAGAAGGAAAGGGTACGAGCACTGGAAAAGAAGTTGGAGAAATGTCGAAACCAGGAAAATAATCCCGATAGTCAGATGTTGGTTGAAGCTTAGTTTTGTGCATGTGGACGCATTTTCATTATGGTTTTCTTTTCAGTTACAAGCAACGGATGAAAAAGATGTACGAAGATGAGGACGATGCTGAGCTCATGAGTACCTCATACCACATGAATGCCACCGACGTTAGTTTAGATATATCGCAGCTAAATAACAGTAATCCTGCTAATATGTCCATAGAATGACTGAAAACCCAGGAGAATCGCACTGCTGCGTACTGTTGAAGTTTTAACAGTTGCTTTCATTGATGTGCGATACAGCGGTGGTTTTTTTTTCGAGTCCATAATTCCGTACAAGGTTGATTGTTCCCTAACAGTTATTTGTAATAAAATGATTTTTTACTATAAGTGAAGATGCTTATTTTTCTTTAGTAGTTGTAGGTAGTTGTGATTAGGTACCGTGACCTGTTCTACTTGTTTGACTACGTTGGAGTATCGAGCCATTTTCACGCAAGCATACCTAATTTGACAACTGGTAACACACACAAGGAAAAAAATGTTAGAACGGATTTAAGGTGATTCCTTGTAGAGTCCACAAAATTTAATGGCCGCAATGTGTAATTGAAAATTCGAAGTCGAAGCGAATGTATAATTTAATCTCGGAAATCAGTGCCTTATCTTATTTGAAATTGCTACTCTATGTATGCGTATACGTGGAGTAACAATTTGAATGTTGCACGTGCTGTAGAAGCTGATATTTGACAAATCGGAAGAAAACAACCTTCATCCACTCTTCGAAAAAAAAAAAAAAAATGTTGACCTTGAACAAATTTCAAGACCTTTAGACAAGACTAGATTTTCAAGATACAGTCACTTTGAAGAACTATTAAGAGAATTTTCGATTTTTTTTTTTAATTTTGACCAGATTTTAGAACTATTGCAGGTATTTTAGGGAAAATTTCGTAGGATTTTTAGGAAAAACTAAGAGAGTTTTGACTGGAACTTCCAAAGGCATTCTACGAAGAATTTTAAGAGAGGTTAATTCCAATGGCAGTTGGAAAAGAATTTCAAAAGAATTTAGAGGAGAACCTCTAACATAGTTCTGAGCAAAATTTTGAGATTAATCTAAGGTGAATTACGTGGACTGCATGAATTAAAGCGAATTATGAAAACGGGAATGATTATCAGTAAATTTTTAGCAAAAGTTTAAAAGAGAATCTAAGCATGAATTTCATGGAGCGTTCTGCAGAGAACATGAATGATGGAAACATGGAAATGATTCTAAATCAATGGTTTGAAAGAATACGCAGAGAAATTTCATGTAGTTGAAACAAAAAAAAATATAATTTTTGAGCTCAATAATTGGATGTTTCAAGCTGAACATTGTACTAGGTTCTAAATAACTTGGGCACATAACCGTTTCTTGTTGTGTTTGTCGTATTGGATGCTAGATAAAAGTTTCTTTTATCGATCTGTGTGCTGAAAATATCTGAGAATGGCCGTGGGGATACAAATAGAAAGTCGACGAAGAGAATCTGTCAATGTTACTTATAGGAATTAATGCAATGTTCAGCTTGATTTTTGTTTCAAAAATTAGTTATTGTTGAATCTGCAATAATCATGTAAAGTTTTAAGCGAATTTTCATAGACAACTTAGAACGCTGAACCAAATTCAAGATCCAGGAAAAATACTGCTATATTAGTAATGACCCATTTATCCTAGTGATCATATTCAGCCGTAGTTAGACGCTGTTTGAGCCGCACCTCCATATTCTACAGGTCCAGTATTAATTTTGATAACTTTCGCAATCATTGCTAGGTTAGTCAAAAGTATTTATTTGTTTGTTTTGAGACCAATTTACTAAGGCTCTGAACCATTTGGTGGATTATTTTAACTTTTGGTTAAAATTTGACAGATGAAAAGTTATCGATTAACCCTGCTATCCGAGCATGGTTATTTCTGACAGACAAGAAGTTAAATTTTGACAACTGTGGCTCAAAAACCGGTCGATCGACAGCACGGGGATTTTCGAACATAGAAAATAACTTTCGAAATGTCACTTTTAACCACGAGTTAAATTTAACTCGGCAAATGGTTCACACCCTAAGGCTGTGAACCATTTGCCAAGTTAAATTTAACTCGTGGTTAAAAGTGACATTTCGAAAGTTATTTTCTATGTTCGAAAATCCCCGTGCTGTCGATCGACCGGTTTTCGAGCCACGGTTGTCAAAATTTAACTTCTTGTCTGTCAGAAATAACCATGCTCGGATAGCAGGGTTAATCGATAACTTTCCATCTGTCAAATTTTAACCAAAAGTTAAAATAATCCACCAAATGGTTCAGAGCCTAAATGGATTTACGTCACATTGTCATCTCACGTCATATGCTTGCGCTTGCGGGTATGCGCGGAGCCGTAGGCCTAAAGTATATAGTCGCTATATTCATAGTCTGGCGAATATAAAATTTCGATCTATCAAAAAACGGAACCAATTCAATGGGCCTTATTACGGGTGTCACTATACGGTGATAAGGAAGTGATACTCATAATAAGAGCCGTGATTGCCGTACAAATCAAATGGGAATCACTTAACCGTGACGATAAGTGACAAGTTTTCACCGTGAAGTGACATCCGTAATAAGCACCAATATATTGTAGACCAACAGATGAAACGGTACTATCAACAAAACTTTGATTATTCTTTCCTCGCCAATCGAAGGTAAATTTCCAGCATTATCGGATGGTGTCAGTTTATGTAGGCGAGCCTTGAGTTACGAGAAAACTGTTTCCGAAATTTTGTTCACAATAGCTGATGTGCTCTTTTCTGTTGTTGGTCGTGACTTGCTCGATTGGTTCCGCTATATGACAGCTCAATTGGTTCCCGCAAGCAAAAGTATGTTCCTGTACTTTCTGCACCATATTATTTTCTTAGGTTGTGAACCATTTTTTTTTCCTTGATTTGTTTTCCGTCGATCTTGTTTTCCGTGCTGAGCACCATTGCTACCGATGCCAGGGAGGCAGCTCCCACACCTGGACCCTACCTTTCGACCCATCAACTCATGAACCGGGGACATTTGTGAACCAATTGCGGACTTCTTCTTCTTCTTTTTTCCTTTATTTAACGTCGGTCTCTGTTCCGCAATCTAGTGCCAATCACCGACGGACATCGATTGCCATCCATTGACGGCAATCGAATGTGCAGGAAGGCAGCTTCCACACCTGCATCCAGGATATCGCACCCATTCAACACACATGAGCCGGGACCAACGGCTTTACTTCCCTTCCGAAGGAATACATTTGCGGAGTTAAATTTAACTCGTTGCTAAAAGTGACACTTCGAAAGTTATTTTCCATGTTCGAAAATCCCCGTGCTGTCGATCGATCGGTTTTCGAGCCACGGTTGTCAAAATTTAATTTCTTGTCTGTTAGAAATAACCATGCTCGGATAGCAGGGTTAATCGATAAATTTTCATCTGTCAAATTTTAACCAAAAGTTAGAAAATTCGCCAAATATGTTTCAGAGCCTTATTGGCAAATCAAAGTTGGCACTCGTGGAGACCCGAAAAAAAAATTACAGTGAAATTTTCAGTGGAAACAATGCTCTAACATTAATATTTATTGTCGACAATAAAAATGATTGTTATAATGTTGTACTCTTCCGAAAACGGCAAAACTGCTACCTAGCTGTACAATGAATGTACATAATAAAATGTTGTTACAATGATTTTTATCGTATTTTTCATTTATTTTATTGTTAACATGATTCGATCATGAACATTAATGAACAACTCTATTACAATAAAAATTGTTGTTACATTAAATATTGGTGTATTTTCATTGTGGGTTACTTCACGAACAATAAAAATAAAACTGATTGTCAGCAACACTGCCAATGTAATAGTCCATTTCAGTGCCAACATTTCAAAGGGGCGTAATTGCATTTGTAAACAATGGCTTTAGTCGTCGATTTCTCGCGAATAAAAGCTCACTCATGAAAAATAATTACACCAGCAGGTAGAGGAATGTTTCCTCTATTAGCAAGCAATGTAATTTTGTAGAGGTAAGATTTCATTCGCGAGAAATTTACGGTTAAAGTCATTGTTTACAAAAGCAATTACGCCCCTTTGAAATGTTGGCACTGAATTTTATGAAATGACATTAGCTGGTTTGCCTGCCAGAATTTGATGATATTGATATTGCTTCTCACAGCCGTTAGGTAACCGCCTCCTGCAGTTCATTCATGAGTTGAACCAGAAACTTCTCATAAAATGCTCTATTAAGATAGGCGCTGCTCGTATGGCTCTGGCTTTGACAGTTCGTTTGGCTCAAAACCAGGCAGTCCGCGTCCGCTCATATCTTATCCTAGACCCTCTCTAAAGCTTAATGGATACCTCGAGGTATGCGAGTGCAATCTTAAAATGCTTTTATTTTGCAAATGGCGAGGCAAATGGAGCATTTTATCTAAATCTGGTTGCTGCTACAGTGATAGAAAAGCTGAAATCTATGTATACACCTACAAATCTGAAAAGAAATTATTTTTTCTATATTACATATCTATTGAGTAGTCCTTAAGTTGTCTACTAACGCAGCATTAACCAGATTTGAATAAAATGCTCCATTTGCAAAATAAAAGCATTTCAAGATTGAACCTCACCGTGTAAAATTTTGAAACAATCATCACTTTCATAGTTCTCCTATTCTCCACGAATACGAACTTTGATTTGCCAATAGTAAGGCTGTGAACCATTTGTTGAGTTAAATTTAACTCGTGGTTAAAAGCGACATTTCGAAAGTTAATTCTTATGTTCGAAAATCCCTGTGTTACCGATCGATCGGTTTTCGAGCAGAACTCAGCCACGGTTGTCAAAATGTAGCTTTTTGTCTGTCAGTAATAATCATGGTGGGTATATAAATGGTGATACAGCCAGGCATGGAAAATCATTTGCATTCATTTCGTGCATTCATTTACATTCATTTACCCTTAACTTTTTTTATCAACAGAATTCCGCAAAATGATGTATTGAACTTTTGTAGGTTTTGTTATAAGCTACAACCACAAACGAAGTTACAGACGACTTTCTCCGAAGAAATGAATTAAAATAATGTGGTTCTCTGTAATAGAATTTTAGTCCACCTTCCGCCCCTCACCGCCAGGTTCGCTAGTATTTTTGTTTTGAATTAATTCAAGTTGGTTTTGTGTGCAATGATCTGGCAACTCGTGTCCTTGCTCGTGTTGACGGGGTGCTGTTTTCTCACTCATCGAAGGAAATTTTGAT